CTCTAGAAACTTCTAACGCAGGCTCATCTTGGGACACCATGTTAAATACTTGAATTTTGTCAACCATTATACATACGTCATTCAATTTTTAGAAAATGTGCATTAGAAGTATATCATTATCTAAACAGACCGGGGGCCACATTTAGCTTCGCCGCCCCGGGCCCCCGACAGGCTTAGTCCGCCACTGCAGTGGGGGTGAAAGATACCCTCTCATAACTGCTAAATATTTATAATTCTTGTCTAGATTATACGGAAGAATAAGGAACCTTTATTCTTCCGCAAATATATCCATAGGATTAGATCCATGGGCACACTAAGTCAGGCGGCCTCGACGGCCAACGGCTGGGATCTTGGTTAGCTATTCAATTATTCTTGAAACTGGCTGCAAAAATTTGTTGATAACTTCGGCGTTCAGAGGCGGTGCGTCGTCTTGCTGGAAAAATATGTTTTCGAGTTCCATTAAGGGCATTTCATCAAAAAGGGGTCCAAAGCCTACTAGTTAAAAGTGGCGAACTTTTAAAAATTCTGTATTTCGAAGGGGATTATAACAAAATATCAAGTGTGCTATATTTTTGGAAAGGTAATTTTAAATTCTTTTCAGTTAATTAAAAATATAGAGGGTGTCCCAACTAAAAAATCAATTTTTCTGTTGATAACTCTTAAATTATTAATTTTAAAAAACTTATACTTAAACCATTAAATTCTACGTAAATAGGTGCTTTGGAAATGTTTTCATAGAAATACAAAATTTTCCATAGTAAAAAAGTTACAGCGATTTGTTAAAAATGCACATTTTTGAAAAACACCCCGTAACTCCGAAACGGTAACACATATTGATTCACCATCATGTTTTTAATGAAAATTAAGCTCCAAACACCGATATTAGTTTTCGTCTATCTCCTATAGAAAAGGGTGTTTCAATTTAAAAGCGTCGAATTTGACCCACCGTTGTTTCGGGACTTAAACAATTCCCATCATCAGGCCCAGAAAGCTAAAACAATTAAAATCAGAATAATAGAAACATGTCGCCCCCCTGCTCTTTTTGAAGCTTTTAAATTTAAATAAACATCTTAAAGATTGTGAGTTATTTGTCCCCTTAACCGCCTTCAGAGGTTTTACTTTGAGAAATAAAATTGTTTTTTTTTAGAGTTTTATAAGATCTATGGACGACTACTGATATTGGAAATACTTTACTGTAAAGAATGTATTAACACAATTTTTATCTGTGAAATGTTTAAAAAACACAGCTCCCCATTTCTTGTAATCTAGACACGCCACTGGGTTAAGAGTACTACCTGACTTGTCTAGGACCATACTTATAGTATATTTATATTAGACCTAAAATAGCCGAATAGAAGAAAAAATTTATAAAGTTTTGATGTTGAGATTAGACGCACCAAAAGGAGACTTTTCAAAATCAAAAGAGTTCTTAACTCTAAAGTGTGAGCTTCACCCCAAAAAACCACCCCCAATACGCCCTTCGATGGTTTTTCGCTTTTTTCTCAGAACCCGTTGGTCCCATAAAAAATTTTATACTTACCAAAAATATTCCTTATAAAATTTGCTACAAAAAAGATTCTACTCATTATTTATATTTATCCAATGCATTTATAATAATAATAATAATTATAATAATAATAAACGCAGGGGCAGCTGGACTTTTTTCAGCTGTTTGGGAGGCGACGTCCCCACGTACCCGAGTCAAATGTCTGGCCATTTGGGCACTGTTGCCAGCAGTGTTAAATGCTACCGGATGCGGGTACGGTACAGCCAGTGACGCCAGCACTCCTGCTGATCTAAACACCCTGTCCTTCCGTCCCCATCACTATCCTTTCCTACCATACCGATCCTCCTAACTCCATCACAGATGGTATCCTTACTTACCTAACTATTCTACCAGTATCCGGTTTTTCTACCGGACAGGACCTCCTGAAACAAAAAGAAAAACCCATTAATATGGAGACAAATAAAAAATTAATAGTATTGTTAGAGCCGCTGCCTGGGGATCGCCAGGGCTCGTCTGGAGCCGGTGCTGGACGGGACAGCATGCGGGACATCGGCGGCAGGGTGTTGAGCAGGCGGACCCCTGTCAACCAAAACACTACAGCCGAACTTTCAGAGGACACCGATATACACCAGGGATCCTCCACTGTCGATTGTGTTGTGCAGCAAAATGCTGGACCCACACGTGCAGAGAACCAACAAAAAAAGCGCATGAAATGGGATAATAATACCAATAAACAAGTCATGCGATCATATTTTAGAGTAACATCTCTTGAAACTGATCTGACAATGTACAGGCAAAGAATGCATAAAGACTTTACGGCAGCTCTTCCCCATTACAAGCATTTATCAGAACAAAGAATAGCAGACCAAAGACGGGCTATTGTTGCTTGGAACTTACTTCCTCAGTTGGTAATTAATCAGAGTATCCGTAGAGAGCTTTTACAGAGTGGTCCGTCTAACCTGGGTGCCTTTGACCGGGATAACCTCGATATAGATGGGCAGGGCGAGATAAACACCGTAAATGAAGAAGCAGACAATAACTATGAACCTGATGGCCCACCACATGGTCGTACTAATGGCAGTATGGACACCAACACCAACCAATACAGAACACTAATCCAGAAGAACATAATCCAATATCGCGGCTCAAATCCACTACAAAGACCGCGCATACCTGCGTTACTGTACAAGCCAAACGTTAACCACGTTATCTCAGCTGTAAATCAAGAACTAGTAAAACTGTTAGAACAAGATCCTTCTCTCGAAGATATTCACCTCCTTGTTTACTGCGGTGCAAGAGCAGTCATTGAGGGTAATGGACAGAAAATATATACTAGTAACACCCGGGCTGAAAAGTCCCAAGATATTAGAGAACCGCCTTGGCAGATTCGTCTTAAACGGAAGATTGAGAACCTCAGAAAGCAAATAGGCAAAACACAACAATTGTCAATGGGAAATAATAAACCGCGAATACTTCAAAGCCTACCACCAGCAATCTATTACCAGATTTCGCACTCCAATCCTGCCCAAAAAGATAGTGTCATTCGCGATTACCTTGACAGTCTTAAGCAGCGATTAGCTGCATTAACCAAACGATTAAAGCGATACACGGAAAGCCACAAGCGCAAAATAGGCAACAAACGCATCAGACAAAGTGAGAGACAGTTCTATAGGGATCTTGATAAAAGTAAAAAGCCCGAGCCTCGAAATGCTCCCGCCCCTGAAGCTATACAACAATTCTGGACTGGTATATGGGGTGAGGATACAAAACATAACGAACATCAAACATGGATTGCGGAGGAGACGAGGAAGTACGAAGACAAGAAAATGAATCCAGTAACTTTTTCAGAAAAGGACATTCGAGATACCGTTAGCACACTTGCAAACTGGAGAGCTCCAGGACTGGATGGGGTACATAATTTCTGGTTTAAAAAGTTTTCATCGCTACACGAATATATGGCAACGTGTTTCAACAACATCCTTCAAAAACCAGAAACAATGCCAAAATTTATGGCCAGAGGATATACCTACCTTCTCCCGAAGAATGAAAACTATGATGATCCCTCAATATACCGTCCTATTACTTGCTTACCAACCTTATACAAAATACTTTCAGCTATTATTTCAAACAAGATATTTACTTACCTTGAGTAGAACAACATCTTAACTCCAGAGCAGAAAGGATGCAGAAAGCGAGCAAGGGGATGCAAGGAACAGGCGGCCATAGACGCAGTAGTACTAGAACACTCCAGAAAGAAAAACAGAAATCTTAACATGGCATACATCGATTACCAAAAGGCATTCGACTCTGTCCCTCATACCTGGTTAATGCACGTGCTTAAAATTTACGGAATCAATGAAAATATTTCAACCTTCTTGAAGCACGCAATGACACAATGGCACACCAAGCTAGTTATTCGCTCCTCCGCTGGAACCGTCGAGACAGAAGATATTAAAATACGTAGGGGAATATTCCAGGGCGATTCGTTGAGTGCCTTATGGTTCTGTATAGCATTGAATCCTCTATCTAATGCCATAAAAGAAACAGGACATGGATACAAATTAAAAGCATCTACTGTAACTGAAACAGTAAACCATTTGTTTTACATGGACGACTTGAAAATATATGCCTCTAACAACACTCAGCTACAAGATCTATTGAAAGTTGTCCATAGTATTAGTCAAGATATTGGTATGACATTTGGTCTTTCCAAATGTCAAATAGTGAATGTTCATAAAGGCAAAGTTGTAAATGCACCTGAAGTAGAGCTCGACGGCATGATTATTTCAGCAATGGGGACCAACGGGGACCCATATAAATATCTGGGATTTCTACAGACAAATAAGATGGAACACAAAAAGATGAAGCAAACTCTTACGAACCAATTTCATGCAAGACTGAAGGCCGTTTTAAGAACTAAATTAAACTCCAAAAACTTAGTGAAGGCTATAAACTCGTATGTAATTCCTATACTTGCATATTCTTTTGGCATTATCGCATGGTCTAAAACTGATCTCGAAGAGCTTAATAGGAATGTTCGAGTACAATTAACGAAACATAGAATGCATCATCCACGTGCATCAAAACATCGGTTCATGCTTCCTAGGCATTTGGGTGGCCGAGGTATTTTAAATATACATAATGTATGTGCCACTGAGATAAAAAATCTTAGAACCTACTTTCATAACCATACTGAAAACCTACACCGTGCTATCGTAAACACTGACGATAACTACACTCCCTTAAACTTAAAGTCAACAACGATACAACCAGAATATCAAAATGTCAAAGACGAGTTGAAAAATTGGGCACAGAAAGAATTGCACGGGAGATTTTACAATGACCTCCAACGAGAAGAAGTTAATAGAGCAGACTCACTATATTGGCTTAAGAATGGTACAATATATCCAGAGACAGAGGGTTTCATGTTAAGTATCCAGGACAATGTTACCAATACGAAAAATCACAGGAAAACATTTTAAGAGAACAAATGTCCAACGACCTCTGCAGGCGCTGCAATGAATGTACTGAAACTGTAGAGCACATATTGTCGGGATGCTCTGTACTGGCTCATACGAAGTACCTTGAAAGGCATAATAGGGTGGCAACTATTGTATACCTTGAATTGCTCAAACTATATAATCTAAAGCCTGTGAACGAAAACCCTTATTATAAATATGTCCCCGTGCCGGTGGTTGAGAACGATATAGCAAAAATATATTGGGACAAAGATATAATCACGGACAAACGCATGGAGCATAACAGACCAGATATAACAGTTATTCTAAAGCAAGAGAAAAAAGCGTTTTTGATAGATATATCAGTACCGAACAACCACAACCTAAAACAGAAATACACTGAGAAACTTACCAAGTATGCTGAGCTCCGTAGAGAAGTTAAAGCTATGTGGCGGATGGAATCGGTCTTCATCGTACCCGTGATCTTATCCACGATGGGTCTGATACCTAAAACATTAAAAGAAAATTTAAAAATAATATCGATACCGTATAACACTTACCATAAAATGCAGAAGTCTGTTGTGCTGGGCGCCACCAACATTGTCAGGCACTTTCTGGATTAGGCTCATAGCGCAGCATCTTGCCATGCTGGCCGATCTGCGCTGTATCATAACCAGTAAACTGCGAAATTTAAAAAAAAAATAATAATAATAATAATAATAATAATAATAATAGCGTTTATTTCCAACAGGCAATTAGAGCCCACTTACAGGAAATACAATCTTAACAACAGGTTGTTAGTAAACATTAAATATCAAATTTACAAAAACCAAGAAAAAAAAATTACAATAAGAGAAAACTAAACCTAAATTAATCAATCATAATAATAACAACAATAACAAATCATTAATTATAAATTACTATTATAAACAATAGTTAACCATTAATGCCCCCCACCCACCAGTGAGACCAAATGACCCACAGAGCAGTCAAACACATCACAGTCAACGGAGACAGAGTTAAGGTTGCTACACATGGTGAAAATCGGATCCTGAAACCTAACGTTAGTTCTGGCTCGAGGAAGCGCAAAAGTGGTATTCGCTCTGGAGGCAGGTCGTGGCACCCGGAATGGTATCGTTTCCAAAAGAGTTGGGGAATCTATAAGACCATTCAGCAGTTTCCACAGGAAAGTTACTGAGTGAATGATCCTTCTCAAGGAAAGTGGTTGCACATCGAACCGAGACAACAGCTCAATGTGATCCACACCTCTAACAGGGTAAACCCCCTCCTCCCTGAACACCAGTTGCTTTAAGAAACGCCTCTGTACTGATTCAAGGGATTCAACATGACACTCATAGATTGGACACCATACCAAAGATCCATACTCCAGCCTTGACCTGACCAACGAAAAATAGAGCAGCTTGAGAGGTTCAGAACCTACGAAGAGTTTACAGTTACGAATAATAAAGCCAAGAAGTCTTGACGAACTCGCAACAATTTGATCAATATGACTTATAAAGGTTAGTCGGTCGTCAAATACGACACCCAGATCCCTAAACGTTGTCCTTCTAGACAGTATATTGTTGGCAATACTGTAAACAAACTGCACGGGAACCTGGGTTCTATGATATGACATGACACAGCATTTCGAGACGCTGAGGTTCAATCGATTCTGAGTACACCACTGGTTAATTCTATCAATATTGCTTTGCAAGAAAAGACAGTCCTCATGCCCGTCAATCTGCCAGTAGATCTTCAGATCATCGGCATAAGCCAGTTTTAAGCTGGAAATGCTTGTTAAGAGGTCATTTATGAATAAATTGAATAGTAGTGGGCCGAGATTGGACCCCTGGGGAACTCCGGAAGTTGGAGTAAATGAGTCCGAGCTGTAACCCTCGACCTCAACAAACTGAAGACGATCAATGAGATATGAGGACATGAGTGTTGTCAGTCTATCAGAAAAATTGAATTGACTACTTAACATCATTAGCAAGATCCGATGATCGATTTGATCAAATGCTTTGCTGAAGTCAGTATACACCACATCAACCTGACCCCTTTCATCAAGAACTGAACTAACAAAGTGTGACAAGGCACAGAGATTAGTAATACATGATCTTTTAGAATAGAAACAATGTTGGTCATTAGATATTCTGGATCTACACTGCGAGAACAAGGACTTATAAACGATAATTTCAAACAACTTGGAAAAATTACAGAGTATGGAAATAGGCCGATAATTGTCAACTCTCTGGAGGTCATCCTTTTTATGAACCGGTAGAACTTCAGCTGATTTCCAGGCAACCGGAAAACAACCATTCTTCAGAATTAAATTAAAGATGTGGCATAGTGGAAGGCATAGAACAAACGCGCAATCTTTTACAATGAAGCTGGGAATGCCATCCGGGCCCGCAGTCATTTTGTTCCTAACGGATCTACTCGCTGTGATAACTTCGTCGGCGGTTATTGTTGGGGAGACATCAACAAGATCAGAGGAGGACAACGAAGGAAAAACATCGTCTGCTTGAGCTGTATTCCTATACGCACTCTGGAAAAGGTTTGCAAACGCTGATACAATTACCTCTGGGCCCCGAAATGAAGCACCAAGGGGGCCGTACATAGTGGCTGACAGCAATGATTGACCACGTTTAGCCTTAATAAAGGACCAGAAGGACGAGAGATCAGTGGCGATGTTGGCCTCTGTACGGGTCACATAAGCTTTATAGGCTTCTCGAGCTTGAGATTTTACTAATTGGCGGAGAGAGCTGTACTTGCGGAAATGATAATTAGTACGATAGAGTTTAAAGTCACGGTATGCCTTTTCTTTCTTAAAAATGGTGGTAATTAACAATTTAGAGTACCATACCGGAAATCTGCGGCGCCTGGGACGCTTGAATGGAGTTGACTCAGAAAGTATAGTGTTTAGAATCCTATAGAGTTCGTCGCAACTAGCATTGACATCCGCGCACTGCAGAACAGAAGACCAGTCAGCCTCGAGCAAGGAATTATACATCAGGGGAAAATTGGCTTTCCTGAAGTTAAGGTGGGGAACACTATTCCTGATAACCGGCAAATCGGTTAAGTGAGGCAAAGTGGTACGAATCGATATATCGAGGGCGGGATGATACAGGTCCTCAGGCAAAAGCGGTACATGGCTTCTGACAACATCAGTATCGAAGTTTGCAAATACCAAATCCAGAAGACGATCGTTGTGATTAGTCACACTGTTGCGCTGAGTGAGGCCTAATGTTTCACAGAGTGGTAAGAATTCTACTCTTGTTATTGGACACCTGAGAGTGGTAGGACGGGACATTGAAATCGCCAACAACGACGAGTCGGCCTGACATAAATAAATTAATTGAGGCAATTGCCTCACAAACAGTTTCAAGGTCATTAACGCTGGTGGTAGGAGGGGCGTAAATTACAATTAAATAAAAAACAAAATAGCTTACAGTTATCTTACAGCCTACTAGGTCAATCACAGGCGTAGTATCAGTTATGTCGACTAGATTAATACGTTCCGGCTCCATCTTGCTGCGGACTGCCACCAGGACTCCACCACGACGGGTTGTAGCCACTCTATCCAGCTGTCTGTCAGATCTGAACACAATAAATGATTCAGGAAATAATTCGGCATCGAAAATATCAGATTGGAGCCACGTTTCGGTAATAGTGATAATGTCGAAGCCGCACACACTGACAGAAGAGAAAAAACGATCAGTTTTAGTACGTAAGTCTCTTACATTCTGACAGCAGAGGGATAGGTGCCTAGAGGCGACATCCTTTAGTTTTTTGAGGCAATAAAAGGTTTACCACGTTCGAACTTTATCACTAGGTTTGCCTCACCATTGGATCGACGACGCTCCAGATCATCCTTCACTCTCTGCAGGTCTTCCCTCTGACCGGAACTCAGGTCAGCTTCAACGTAAATTCTTTTGGAGGAAATAAACTTAGAGCGGAGTTTTAATACATTTGCCACATCAGTGTGATTTGACAAAACAAGCTTGCTGGACTTGCGACCATTACGATTGGGCCTTCCTAATTTAACAACATCGTTAACTTGCACCTGCTTACCGGTCACCGTTTGCAGAATATTGGATACCTGTGTAGCTTCAGGAATATCAGGCAATAGCTCCATATTGTACAGCATGACGTTGTTCATGCGCTTCTGACGCTCGAAAATCTCCTGCATTAAACCGCTATTATCTATACTTATTATCTCACAACGACAGTCTGTGTTGAAACCCCCTGAGCAATGATTTTTTCATTTAAGATGTCGATCTCCGAAGAAAGTTCAGCAGACCTGGACTCAAGGTCAGCTTTAAGGGCATCACAGTAAGATTTAGTGTGATCAGCTTTCGCACTTATTAGATTACTGAGGTATTGCATTTCGAGCAATAACCGTTTGAAAAGTGGAGTACAAAAAAAATACAGGTCGCCTTTCAAATTATACTAACATTAAAGTAACTATAGTCTCCCAAGATATTTTAACGTGCTAAATATACACGCAACAGATATAATACTGTATAATATAAACAAAAACATTGCCTATTCCACTAAACTAACATTCATACTTTCATCTACATATTGTCATCGTCTATAGTTTCTAGAATGTGCTCAGTATTCGAACAACTTTGCCCACGACAGGTTCCGCACATAGTTGTACATTTCATGCCGGCTTTAATGCAACTGCATCTTTTTACACAATATTGTTTGCAGTTGGACGTTATTAATGACAAAACTGAAGCAGGGGCGGGCGATTCGGTTGTATATAAAGGTGACAGTGTGTTGTTGATTTTCTTCCAGCCCCACTGGTCGAGTTTTATAGGTTGTTCTTGCCATATTTGTACTTGAAGATATGTTCTCCGGGAATGTTGCCTAGCTGCAGTAGATGTGGGAGGCAATTTTGATAAAAGTACCGTGCTGTTTGCTCGACCAACTAACTTTCAATAAGTTATTTAACAAGCGTATCTTAGTTTCAACAAGCGTATCTTTGCTCACTAAGGCTCCCTTGAGATGATTGAAGTTTGTATAGTTTCAGTATAAACGTCTCTCCAGCTTTTTCAATTTCTTCAGGTGTTGACTTTGCGTTGTTAAAAATATCGACGATACTATCAAGGTCTTTTTCTTTATTAAATATTTGTACGTGTTGTTGTTCAGAATAACAACTAAAGAAGTAAGGGACTAACCTCAGAATAACAACTAAAGAAGTAAGGGAGACATGTAAAAATTTAAAAAATGGTAAATCCGCAGACCCGGGAGACATACCAGGAGAACTGATAAAATATGGGACGGAAAATCTGTACCGACATATAACAAAACTCTTCCAGATGTGTATAGATGGCGCAGAAGTACCAAAAGATCTTAAAATCTCATATATCACCACAATATCACGAAGATTTTTAAAAAAGGAAATCGAGAAGACTGTGCAAACTATAGAGGCTTGGCAGTGACAAGTACATTAAGTACAATATATGGAAAGATACCAAAGAATAAAATAGAAAACGAATATAAAGAGATAGAAATAGAAGAACAGGCGGGTTTTAGAGCGGGAAGGTCTACTGTGGAACACAGGTCTTAGAGAAAAAAAAGGTACACTTACTATATATAGACCTCCAAAAGGCTTACGACAGCATACCATTAAATAAATTGTGGGAAACGTTGGAAATAACTAATATAAATGTCAACCTACTTAAAGCAGTTAAGAACTTATACCAGAACACCACAGCTAGAATAAAAATACCGAGACTCATTGTCAGAAAGCATAAAAATTACAAAAGGCCTCAAGCAGGGATGTTGCCTATGTCCTATACTATTCAAAATATACCTGCAACAAGCACTAAAAAAATGGATGCTTAAGTGTAGAGGAATGGGAATCCCCCTAATAAATGAGGACACCCTATTTTTTGCGGACGACCAGATAGTCCTAGCCCAAGATCACGACGACCTTGAATATATGGCAAGGAAGCTGATAGAGGAGTATAAGAAATAGGGGTTGGAGGTAAATATCACCAAAGAATATTATAGTTTTAAGAAATCTCGTGTGGAAGCTTTAGTGATTTGTCACACGGTGGCGCTTTTGAACATAATCGAAGCCTGAAAATGCTAATATTTTAAATTTTGAGGACTACGCGCGGCGATATTTCGTACGGTGTTGCCAAAACATATTTTATTTCTCGATATTTAAAGAAATATGTATTGATTATATATTTCGTATTCGTTAGTACATAAGAGGGCATCCTAAGGCTATAAAAACGTAGCTATGAAAATAAAATTTTAGATTTTTAATTTTTTGTACCTTCTAATAAAAAATACTTCTATTCAATAAAAATTCACAGTCCTTTACAAAGATGCAACCGGGGGGCATTGAAAATGATGAATAAAAACGTAAAAATATGATTAGTGTTAATATGAGTGTATTTACATACATATGTTTAAAATAACAAACTTAACAAAAAACAACAGATTTAAAGATTCACTGAAAAAGTAGTAATGGTAACATTAAATATAACATTATCAATAATAATTATGCGATCGCACCTATCCGTAAAACAAGCAAAGCAAAAAAACCTCAGAAAAAAACAAAATAACATACACAAACATCAGGTTAACATGATGACAGATCATGATCAATGACAGATAAAATTCTTACGGAAAGTTACACTTTACGATATAACTTTACCTGTTAAAGGCAAACCCCATTTAAACACAAACCTTTTAATATCTAAAAAGACTTTTTTTAAATTACTAAATTCTTAGCCACGCTTCTGTTTTTTCTTAGCTGTTGTGCGTCACGTCACAGATTAACAGGCCCACGTTTGCACCACAAGGCGATGCTGCAGACCACTAGGTAGACCGGTCGTAGAAATTTATGTTATACAACTTGTAGTCAATCTACACAAATATTATCAAAAACTTTTTTCTTTTAAAATGTGTTCAGATTTTGTAAAAAGTATAAGTCAAAATCGCAAAACTTAAATTTGATATGAGTTTCTTAGTTTTTAACTAATATAGTGGCGAATTACAAAAATTCCTTTTCAATGAAAATTAATCAGTTAAATAAAATAATTTAATAAATTACTAGCTTTTTCCCGCGACTACGTTCGCGTTACACCTCGAATCGTTCATGCAATGATTTAAATGATTTTTTACTTCTTTATAGAGAGCTACTGAGCATAGATGTTTTTTATTTTTCATCTTTTTTTTATTTATTAAGAGCACTAATACTCTCTTTATAGGTTATTTTTTATTCTTTGAAGGATAATTGAGGAAGATATATTTCGTTATGATGTCACTAAATAAACCATTGTATAAAAATTTTATACTGTCTGGTTTATAATGTTATTTACCAACATATTTTACTTTGCAAATTTTTATAAATATTCAGACTCGCCAATATCATACTCCACCGTATCCAGCTTGTTTAGCCAAACGTAGGCCGATTCCTCTTCGGCGGCGTCGTGACCCTGGCCGAAGGAAGAGTCTTGAAGACGCTCATCTGCGCATAGGAATAAGTTGACTGCGTAGCGTATTGCGTATTAATCGATTCTGAAACTTTCTATCTCGTGTATAACATGTTACGCAAGTTTATTATTTTAATCTCGATTTTAATAGATAAATGTGTGAAATGCCACCTGAATATCTTCCGCCATGACATGTTTTTACTTTTTTGTTATGGTAAAGTGATTTGTATAAACTTTATTCAATAACGTATATTTTCCTCCATTTGTGATTTTTTAATTTTAAGCGAAAATTAAGTATAACATTTTAGGAAAAAGAAACACTGTAATATTTAAAAGAATAAGAAGAAATTAGTCTTATTTTGAAAGGAAAATATAGAAAAAACTCTTTCTATAGAAAAAGTCTTTATACTAACCAGAATCCGGTGACATATACGCGGTCTCACCGGAAACATTACTTATTACTTCGCATAACTTGAAGAATATCTACTTTTAATAATGAACACTTCAGAAATACACCAGTAAAAACATTTATTATTTGAGATTAAAACTCGAATTAAATTATAAATATTAGTTACCTATGTTGTTATAGCTTTTATAGGCCTGTTTAACGACTTAATAAGTTACCTAGCGAAAAAATCTGTGCGCGTACCTACCACTATTGTTACAGGTTAATTCGTTAAAGAAATATGTTACACAAGTTAAAAACGCTAAAATTTTAATGGTATTACTTGTGCATTATTGGCCTTATAATGTAATTTGTTGGAATTATATCTTCTTTAAATATAATTAGACTTTTTAACGACTTTTAAGTTACCTAGGAAAAAATCTGTGCACGTACCTACCAGTATTGTTACAGGTTAATTCGTGAAACAAATGTGTTACATATTATTCGTGGTATTAGTGGTATTATATTGGAATCAGCTTGGCATTAGTGGGGCATTATATGAGAAATTTGGTATTTAATTTGTATTTTTGGCATTACTTTGGCATTAGTATACAGACATTTGTCAGCGGTTTACTCCTTGTAGATAATCAAAAAGTTTTTTGATAAAATTTGCTTTTCATGTCAGATCATTTCTATGAAAAATTACATTAGATTTTTATTAAAGACGCTGGGTAATTAAAACATTGACTAATAAACCTTGTCCACTTTAAATACGGGGTCACGAAATATCCTCCTTGGAGTGTTTGGGTTAAGGGGTGTATAATAAATTAATCGTTGTTTTATAATAAAAACCATAAAACATTTATTTGTGAGTAAAATAATGCAATGGTTGGATATCTCTCCTTTATAATTCGGTGACTAAAAATACACTAAAATAATTAGAAAAAAAATCTTGTACTTATTTAGTAATTACGTCAATATTAATTAATTGACTTTCTAGTCTATTTTATTTTATGTACAAATATATTATTAAATTTTAAGCATTAAGTAATAAAACACTTTGTGCCCTCTTATATCGTAAAAGGTTACGAAATATACTCCTGGTTACACCCCTTACAGAAAACAGTGTAAGGGGTGTAAATAAATTGTATAATCACTGTTTTTTATAATAAAAACTATAAAATATTTCTTATTTGTGAGATTAAAAAAACAAAACAATGCATTGGTTAAAATAAGTACATTCAATACTGTTTTCAATTGTTAATTCAATAATGTGTTATAACATAATATAGCCATTACTATTATACTATTATTATTAAAATAATATGTGTGTAACATATTTCTTTAACGAATTAACCTGTAACAGACATTTATATGCCCAGTATATTTTTGTTTAACAAACCAATCAGGAAAAATCCAAAACCTACCGTTATAGGAGGTATAAGACGATTAAACTTATATAATGACAACTACTTATCGGATAACAAATTAATTACTACTGTCAGCTAGTTCAGCTACTGTCTAGGTAGAATTTACCTAGAGTACCTACACCTACCTATGATGATGTAGGTAGATTAAAGCTTATTTTGACGTTACCTCTCACTTCGGTGTCACAAGCTGAATTTTTCAGGGATGGAAGTACAGTACATCACAGTACATGATATGGGGACCCTTATTCCGAAAGTAGTACAAAATTAAACAGGGTAAAAAGGCACTATCATCAAAAATCGATATATTAATACCACCGTATAGAGAAAACAAATACTTATTTTTTGATCCAGTACAGAATAAAGTCTTCGTAGGGAGTAATTTTTTATAATTATTTACAAAAAAACATTTCCATTAGCGCTTATGACCAAAAAAAAACTTTAAACATGAATAATCATTTCAATCATGCGAAAATTTGGTTTAAAAATAGAGATTTTTTTTTAATATAACTTTCATTTAACGAAAAACGAAGGCCTAAATGAAAAAAAGAAACAATTTAAAAGTTTCGCTCATGTCTTGACAAGGTATCAAAGCAAACCCCATATTTTTTGCTTTTAAACTAATAAAGATATATCAATAAACAATTAGCGATGTAATGGTTTTTGCGCGCGCTGACCGACTGCCGCCGCTGCGCCGAGATTTCATATACCCTTGTATATATGACGTCATGGTGTGGCAAATGTAGCATTTTAATTCGATTTGGGCTCCCTTATATAGGATAACAAACATTTTCAATGTTAAAATTAACTAGTATGATTATGTGTTATCTGTGCTAGTATTAGGAAACTGGAGTAAATACGGAGAATATTAATTCGTTCTCTAAGATGAGCACTACTAAGTAATTTTTTAAAATTCGACCCATAAGGGGGTGTAATTAGATAAAGGGGTGTAATTAGCCACAAAAAAATCTGTACCTACTAGGAGTATGAACTTTTGCACAGATGTGGCGCATTTGAACATTGATAAGCGATTTTTGGAAATGTATAGCCTAAGGGTAGTGAAACTGGGGGTGAAATTTTGTACAAAAATGTTAGTTCTAGGAGTATGAAATTTTGTACAGAGTTTCCCTTAAGTGACAAAGTGAGTATACAGAAGCTAATTTTGACATTCATCCCCGAGAAATAAGGGATGAAAATTTGTACAAAAGTTTGTTACAATCGGTTTTTAGAAGTATGAAATTCTGCACAGACGTTCCTTATGTAACGTAATTTAGCACTAAGTAGCACTTTTGGAAATTCGCCCTCTCAGGGTGTGAAATGAGGGTGAACGTTCTGAAACAATTCTGTTGAAGGAATATGAAAATTTGCATAGAGGTTCACCTTATGTAGCGTAATTGAATAATTAGAGTGATTTTGGAATTCATTCCTTAAGGGGGTAAAACTAGGGGTGAAAATTTGTATAATTTTTATGTAAAATCCGTTCTAGAACTAGGAGTATGAAATTCTGTTCAGAGGTCCCTAAAATGAGGAAAGTGAGTACCTAGAAGCGAATTTTAGGCATGCATCCCCCCTAAAAATAAGGGATGAAAATTTGTACAAAAATTTGTTAAAATCGGTTTTAGAAGTATGAATTTTGCAGACGTTCACTTATGTAACGTAATTTAGCACTAAGAAGCAATTTTGGAAATTCGCCCTCTAAGGGTGTGAAATGAAGGGTGAACGTTCTGAAAC